TTTGGACTATGGGAGGAAACTAGAGCACCCAGAAGAAACTTACATGAACCTGGGGATAGCATACAAACTCCACACAGGTAGCACCCTATTAATTGACCCCAGAGCCCCAGCACCCTGCAAGGCAGCACTGCTGACCACATTGCGCCACTGGGCCACCCGAGATGGGAGACGGTTGTATTAAAATGAGTTCAAACGTGGGTGCATCGTGTGCGTGTATTGGCGCCCTGTGTACTGACCTGTTGCGCGGTGTTGGCAGGGACGGAGATCACTATGATGCCCTGAGAGACTGCCTGAAGGCCATCTCCCTGAACCCCGGCCACCTGAAGGCTCACTTCCGCCTGGCCCGCTGCCTGTTTGAGCTCAAGTACGTGGCGGAGGCCATGGAGTGCCTGGACGACTTCAAGGGGAAGTTCCCAGAGCAGGCTCACAGCAGCGCCTGTGATGCTCTGGACAAGGACATCAAGGCGGCCCTCTTCTCCAAGAATGATACCTGTGAGTACAGTTACCCCCTGGTTTGACCTGAAGCATATTTAAGAAGCGTTGCAACCAAGAGAGCACCATCATACTCGTGTGCTGTTCAGTAGCTAATTGGTGCAAGGATCTCATTCAGCTGTTTCTTGGAAAAAGCCTAGGTATCACTATGGTTATCAACAACATGTCTAGGTAGCTTGATCCATATTCCAACAACCCTTTGGGTAAAGACGTGCTCCCTTTTCTCAGTTTGTAACATACTTCCAGTTTCCTCTGGTTCATATTTCACTGTTAGTTCATAAGAGGCCTATTGGGTTGACTTTTCAAAATCCTTGAAGGCATTGATCAACTTGAATTGGGTCTCCTTGTCCTCCTCTCTGTTCACTTCCTTCAGCCCGTCAGTGAAGGATGTTCCCTAAGGCCGCAGGATGCATCTGGGTGCTCTTCTCTGGACAGATTCTAGAGCAGCACGTGCAACGTCCTAGAGCTGTAGCACAAATAAAATACTGTAAAGCCTTCCGAATGTTTGGAAATGCATTAATTAGGGAAGTGCAGTGTTTACGTGTTTGAACAGCTCCAGGAGTGCAGTGGATCAACAGCAAAGCTGCTGTGGGCAGGATCTTCTAGTTTCAGGTCTGTCCTGGGTCTGGCTCAGGTGCAGCAGTCAAAACAGGGCTATCGGTGACATAACCAGGAAATCCTTGACCTAAACCACCGAACTGACTGCTTAATCCTTCTTTGTACTTTTTGTAGAAAAATGGGTCAGGGGGGAGAGGAAATTGGGGAAAAAACTTGCGTCCTGTTCGGTCTCTCCGCGGGATGCGTGCGTGATCCCGGTTTGCTGAGGTCCATCCGTGTTTTCCAGCGGACGACAAGAAGGGAGGGGGGGCTCTGCGCTTCCGCTCCATCGGCAGGAAGGACTCCATATCGGAGGACGAGGCCGTGCTGAGGGAGAGGAGCTACGACTACAAGCACCGATACTGCGGCCACTGCAACACCACCACCGACATCAAAGAGGCCAACTTCTTCGGCAGGTAGGAGCCCCACGGCCGCGCTGGCTGGGAGCTGGGATCCCAAGGCTGTGTCCTTTTTTTGTTTTTTAAATCGGGTCGTGCTCAAAACATGCCCTGGCCTGTTCGAACAGCTGCATCGCGACAGCGGTCCATCATGAAGCAGTGACCGTTGGCTTTCTGCATGCAAAAGGAACCATCTTAGTTTTTATGATAACCTGAGTGGTAGAGAGTCAGAAAAGGTTGCCTTTTCTTTCTGCAGCCAAATACTGACATTTATATTTTCAAATAGCTAATGTGCAGCACTTGAATATAAACACGCATATATAGAACTAGAATATCAAACAATCTGAAGGACTCATATTTATTTATTATGCTTTTCTAGTCCTTTTCAAGGACATGATTGAGAGCTTTTTCCTAAATGTTTTTGTGAAATACAACTGAAATTGTATTTAGTTGATAATTTCAGAATACAGTACATTATGCTCTCAATCCACGCCTATTGCGATGGGCTGGCAGTCCGTCCAGGCTGTATTCTGTCTTGGCGCCTGTTGTTTGCTAGGATGGTCTCCAGCCTCCCCAGTTCCCTGTAGGGGATGAAGCAGTTTGAAAATGGATGGACCTAATAACATAAGGTCATTAGCAGGAAGGATGGACTGATAGATGCATGCCTCGGTTGTTTTTGGAAGAACGTTCCAGTCCAAACTGCTGTTGACCATCATAAGGCTTTTGCTGAAATTTAATCCGACGGCCTGTCTGACAGGCCCAGGTCAGATCTGTGGAACACGGCCTTGCCCTCACGCTTGCTCTCGCTTGCAGTAAAGGGCAGTACATCGTGAGCGGCTCGGACGATGGCTCTTTCTTCATCTGGGAGAAGGAGACGACGAACCTGGCGCGGATCCTGCAGGGCGACGAGTCCATCGTGAACTGCCTCCAGCCCCACCCCAGCTACTGCTTCCTCGCCACCAGCGGCATCGATCCCGTGGTCAGACTCTGGAACCCCCGGCCAGAGGTACGCCAGCACCCCCAGACTTCATCCCCCTCGAATCTTAGACATTTTCCGTTTCTGCGGACATGCTTCCATCAAAAGAGACGAACTGTCGTAATGCACAATTACATCATCGTATTCCTCCTGAAGTCGCAGAATGAGAATTTGGTGCAGTAGGTTTGAGCGAATGGTGCTCATTTTGTATTGTTGTTGCTGGGCGGTGAGTATATTTCTCTGGCGGTTGTTAATCAGTATTTCCACCCATAATCCTGGCTCGTGTTCCTGTACAGATTGTAATCTCGGCCATTCTCTTCCGTGCTTGCTGTTTATCTCGGTCCTGTTTTTTGCGAATTAGGAGATGAGTACTGATACTTCTGTGGTGTGACTGATTGCAAAGGGAGGTCCGGGAGTCTCAGAAATGCGTCTTTAAACGATCTTATTCAAGGGAGTGGACTTTATTCCTCTTCCTCCTTCTCTCAGGGCTTGCTCTCCTTTTCCGATTGTGTCCCTCTTTCTCGCCTGAGCCCGTCCTCCTCGCCTCTCGGTAAGAGCTCTCTTCTTCCCTCTCCCCCTGCAGAGTGAGGATGTGAACGGCAGGGTGGTGGAGGACATGGAGGGGGCAGCCCAGGCCAACCAGAGGCGGATGAACGCCGACCCCCTGGAAGTGATGCTGCTCAACATGGGCTACCGGATCACGGGGCTCAGTAACGGGGGGCCTGACGGTTCCGACGACGAGGACAGCTCTGAGGGCCAGGTTCAGTGCCGGCCCAGCTAGAGAAACCCCATGCTGGGCCTGGCCCGGCCCAGACTGTGGGGAGTGGGGGATAGTGTGTGTGTGTGGGGGAGGGTGGGGGCTTAGATTTTCTGTTCCATGATTATTTTTCTTGTTTTTTTTTTCCCCCTTTTTCCTTGGGAAAACGTGCGATCGAAAGCCTGCCACTGTTCTACGCTATGCATACAATTGTGGACGGCGGGGGCAGGGGAGGGTGTGCCCCTGCTGTCCCTGCCGCCCTGTCCACTCCTCCTCACTCCTCCTCCTCCTCTTCCCTGTCAAGCAGAGGGCTGTGAGGCAGAATGCTTTTTTGGCGCCTGTTTTTTTTTTTTTGCGGAGGACGATGGAAAGTCAACAGTTGGATTAGCGCTACGGATTTGCGGACAGCTCCTGGGGTGCGGGGTTAGAGGAGCACGGGTCTCCCCACCACCACCACCACCACCACCACCTCCCCCAACCAAAATGAGTCGGCTCCCACAGCGCATCGTTCCAAAGCCCACGTATAGGACGTCAGGTTGTTCTCTAGTTGTATTTTTCTTGTCCGTTCTTCCAACTCTTGGATGGAGGAGAGATGCAGTCTCCCAGCTGCGCATGTCTGGAATGCTCACACAAGCATCTCTGGTTCCCCTTAGGCTTTCTGGCAGTGGGTCGGTGCCTCAGTATGGGTTTCCAAGGGAGTTTCCAATCTCACCTTTTTAAATGAGTCATAGAAGCTGCCTTTGTTGAGAGAAAACAAAAACATTAGCTGTGCCCGCTCTCACTTGTAGCAGTGCTGCGCTCCTGCCTTCTCCAGGAGAATGTAGAGGCTTGGAGAAGTAGCAAAGGCGCTGAGGAAAGCCAACAGTTGACGTGAGTCAGGATATGGGGGCTTCTGGGAAGGGTTCTGTTCATTTTAGTTGGGAAATGTTCTTGGCAAACAGTGTTATGTCTCGTTATCACTTTTTTGAGACACTGTCTGTAGCTTATTTAAGTGCTCATTTTCCTGAGGAGGGGTAAAGGTAAAAAAAAAATACTTTTTATGTGTTGAAAGCTGATGCTGGTGTTGGTTCATGGATTTTTTTTTTCTTAAAATGATTTGCTTTAAAAGCAACCTTAAAGAGGAAATTGACTTTTACCTCAAAATAAACATGCTTTACCACACCTGTCCGTCAAATGTGTCAAACTCAAAACACAGAGAAAATGTAAACACAAACATAGCATCTTGCAAACGTATTTTAAGCTAATAACATTTAAGTTCAGAACATTTTAAGAACATAATTGTGATACATGAAAAATTGCACATTTTAGTTGTTTCTTTAATTTCTTTACTAATATTCCGAAAGTAGACCATTGCTGTTTCAGATATGTTTCTAAATAGGTGAATCACATTAATTTTAAAGTTTCTTGTGTATCTTCTGTGTTTACCTTTAATTGATTACTTAGCATTTAGTTGGAAAATATAGCAGGATAACTTAATGTATGAAAGATATGAATGAATTTATATTTGTGTTCTTTTGTTAATAATAAGCCATAATATTAGGCGTCTCTTTAGCTTTAAGAGGATGAAATTATAGGAGACTCCAATGAAATTACTGGAGAAATTTAAAAAATCAATAAGAATGTTTACCAAATTCTATACTTGTTTAGGATTTAAACCTGTCTGAAATAGCTTTGGTTTTATGCTGGCATTGGAAAAAAAATATATAAAATATTTGTGTTAACTTGATGTTTTTTATTTTATCTCTAAAGAGCAGGTATAGTGTATAATCTGTAAACCCCAACACCTGCAGTGTGTGTTGCTGCCGTGTTCCAGAGGTGAAATTGGGACCTAGGCCTATATATTAACATTTTTTAGTACTGACTTTTGTGATGCACGCTTTAACATTTTGCTGAGGATTTGTTATCAACTTAAAATGTGTGATAGGCACATTTGGTCAACATGTTAGGGTGTGTTTATTCTTCAAAAACCAACTTCCCCTTTAAGGTACAGGTTTATTTGCTTTGTGTGTTCTGAAACATGACTAATTGTGATAAGTTTGGTGGAAGCTTTCTCTTTTCCTTTCCTCATGTGCCTTTAGGGTGTTTTTCCCATAAAAGCATGTGACGGAGAGGAATGATTATTTTTTAGAGGAAGAAATTCCCCAGGTTACACAGTTTAGGGTAGAGAATAAACTGCAGGTGTACATGACAGCTGAAACTAAATGACCCGCTGACATAGATGTTTAGAAAAGAGCAGGGGGGAATGTAAATGGCTTCTACTGCGATTTTCACATGTACACACAACTACTCGCTGTCATTCACCGATAAACACATTACTGATCTGAGTTAAGGTACAGAACATGACACCGGCAAATTGTTCCTTATTGGAGGCAAGGGAAATTATAAAGGAACGAGATTAAGGAATCCAGGAAAGTGGCTGTCACAAATATTTGTTACAGTATATCTGGCAGGTCAGTGGAATCAGTACTGTGGATTCACACAAGCATGTGGTCTCCAGGTGAATATGGTCTTCTTTGTGGACTTACTGATTAATGTCCTACATGATATGAATCGCATTGGTTTACTGCTTTGTCCCAGATGGAACTGGCCGTTTGCGAATCCTTGCTTTACTTTAGAAAAGGGACAGATTGGACTCCCTAGATACAGCTGTGTGAATATACCCAGCATTTCAAGCTTATGCTTCTTTGGATACTGCAGTTTTAGGTCCCCACAAGCTCTGAATTCTTGTTTTATTAAAAAGGAAATCACCATATAAAGATTTGAGCTTCTAACACGAGACTTCCATGTGTATTTCTTGTTCATCTCATTTTTACTCTGCCAATCTGATGACTGGATTTTGCTACAAGAGGTATAAAAGAATAAAGCTGGATTGCTACTGTAGGAAGATCGCCTCAAGTTTGGTCTGACTAGCATTTCTGTTCCTTTGGTGAACAGCTGCCCTTTCTAGTCCAGAATATTGGAACAACATGTTTTTTTTTCCCCTGCCCCTGTTGGAAGACCTGGAGATCATTTTTCTCCTCCATATAACTCTTTAATACATTTCTATCCAGTTTGTGTTACCAGCACCAGGGTAACACTGAGGTCAATATCATTCACATTAAATGGGCTTCTAAGTAGAAGAAAACATTTTTTTCAATGTAATTGTTTCAGGTCTGGATAGCTATTTGTATGGAACTTATAAGCATGTGTGCGCATGTGGACATGTGTACCTTAAACCTTTGTAACTTTTAGTCTTCCCAATACAGGCGGGATACTGCATCATAAAAGTAACAAATCTGAGAACATTTTGTACAAATGTTCTTGGAACACCTTCTGGAGCTGATCTTTGAAAGGTCTCTCTATTGCAGTTTGCACAACATCCTCCGGGGAACAATTAGGGAGTCCTGGAGTTCCAGTTTTTTTTTTTTTGTAGCGTTTGCAGAGTTGCAGATAAAAAAGCGAACTCCTTTTGGTCAAGGAGCCCCAGCTCCTTCACTAAGAAAACAATCCCTGACATTTCAATGCGGTGGCCTTCGATTTGGAGCTCTAAAAAAAAAAAAAAAGAGCTGGAACTTAAATATGAGCACCTCTCATGGTGACTTAATTGGCCGCCTTTCCTCAGCCAAATATTGAAGTGGTATTTTACAAAAGAGCTCCCTGGGCTCCAGCATGATGGACTCACTGTATCGGTGCGGTTACGGCTTCGTTTATCAATGTCTGCTGGTTTTTGCTGAGTAGTTTGTTTTTGCTGCTCCTACAGTACATCAGCCCCTGCTCGTCTGGCTAGCCTTCTTGAAGATGGATCCAATCACCTGCCAGCGAGAGAAATGTGGGGTCTGTGGGGGTGACTGAGGCGTTCAGACTTCTCCGTAATGAAACAGGTGCCCTCACGGGGCAGAAAATTAGCGAAGTGCGTCACCGTATCAGTCTATCCTGCCTCTCTGCAGGTAGTTATAAAAGGCAGCGATCGTCCCAGTTTGCTCAAGCCCACTTCCAAAGAAAAAAAACAGAGCAGTGAAAGTTTCTGTGTTTATGGTTCAGACGTTTTTTTTATCTGCCAGTGCCAGGTAAAACCTGAATGGATCTTGTGAATGACGTCTGTGAAATGTTCATTTGGTTACATCTAAGCCCAAATGAGTGGGGATCAGGACAAGCATCCAAACCGGCTGGCGGATGGGGTTTTCTTAAAGTGCCACGATTAAAAAAAGGTGATCTGGGACACATTCTGTGGGATGTTTTTAGGGGGCACATTAGTTTGTGCTTTATTGGACTAAAAACACCTTCAGAATGTGCAATCTTATTCTTGCAGCAAGATATGCACCCTATATTAATACTTTTACCCTGGTCATCTTGCAGATGAGAAAGCAGTTTGAGCACTGTGATTCATTTGTAGAGCCTGCTAAGGAGGTGCAGTCCTGCTCTGATTTTTCTGAATAAACAGTATGACTTCATTGAAATTCAGGGAGTTCCCGGACATTCAAGACCTCTGCCACATGTAGGTGCCCAGCAGTATGTGCTCCGTGTATTAGCAGGGGAAAGGTACAGCAGCTAGCCGGGCCACAGAGAGCCCCGCCACCTGCTTCCCTCAGAAGCTCAACAGCACCTCGTCTTGAATTTGTCCACGCCGCAGCTGGACGTGCTGATGGAAGAGGAGACCTGGAGCCAGCTGGCACAGGTGGCGCACCTGAGAAGGTGAGAGTGTCTGGCAAGTATCCAGCCTCCCACCTGGCACTGCTTTGCCATGTCTGCTTTGAGGGGAATCCGAGGAGCCCGTACAGTCCGGAGAGAGAAATGACATTTTTAAAAATGGTAAGCAGCAGGAGTACTGGTAAAAACGCAACGTGAACTGGTGAATTGACCGGGTCAAAGGCAGGAATGACAAGAACCAGTCCTGGCACCGGACCTGGGGTGACCTGGTCTGGCCTCATGCGGAATGACGAATTGAGGATTGGTTTTGATATTTGTTTTCCTGCGAAGTTCTCTCGTCTTCGGGTTATTCAACTGAAATGTCCGTGGGGGTTTGCAAGTACTGCTGCAGCTGTTCAGAACTCGCTCCGCTGAGGAGGTTCAGTGTAAACCGTCCACAGTTCCCCACTCTGCCCTGACTGGAGACATAGGGCGCAGGACAGGTATTAAAATCAATTCAAAACAGGAGTGAATCAGGTGATTCCATCAGAGTGCAAACCAGATTGTGTTGCACCGCAACACCATTAATGTCTAGCTCCCAAAAAGTGTGGAAAGTTGTTGAAACCCTACAACAATCCCATTGTAGCTGAAATTGCTCCAGAGAGTTTTTTTAAAAATCCACTGCTTTTATGTGCCAAAATATTAGGAACCCCCCCTAGTCAAGTGTCTAGATTCAGTGACAGGTGGTGCATGGGTGGCTTTAGAAGCAAGAGGTTAACTTTCACCTCCTTCCTGGCCAGGGCAAACCCCAGATTCAACCCCACGCAATTACCCTCATCACACCCTGAGGTAAAGGTGATCCTGCCAGGAGAGTTGGGATAGGACTGACCAGCAAATATTTTAACCAGCAAGGCTTGTGGGGCGCGTGTCATTTCCTGTTCAAGCCGCTTTTGGTGCCCTCGGAGGCCTAACATGTTAGACAGTCAGGGGGTCCTAATATTTTGACCACTGGGTGCAAAAAGAAATACCAGAGCCTATCTTGGCTATTCATACACTGTACATGCTGTATTATTTCATCAGCAGTGTCAGTGTGTCAAATCTAAGTAGATTGAGTCAATCTTAAAAATCTAAAGTCTGCATTTTCTATTGGCTTGACAAAAAAAAAAACTGTAAATCTAAAAAGAAATGGATGGTTAATTTTCTGCTCCATTACATTCCAATGCATTCTGGGCCAGCTGAGCAGAGAGCCCGAACAGCTGTTGGGATATTAAGATCCCGCCACTGTCTCCCACACTTACTTCCTGCATGTTGCTTTCCAAGGAGACTCCAGCTGTTAGATTTCACCAAGTGAGAATCACAAACAAGCGAGGGGACATATTGTCTGCACATTTCGAGAGAAGCCTGCAGCTCATGGGCTGATGGGTCTATCATATGTACATTTAAACTGCTCTTTAAGGCTGGGAAAAAAAGGATATTATTTACAGAAAATAATGTTTCAGATGCAAGGGGGGAGAGAGGATATTATCAGCAACGGACCGAAGATTAGTGTGAAGAACTTATTGAATGGTATTTATCAATGGTGTGCAAAACAGGAGGCCTAGTGTCTGCTTGTCACTCTTAAAGGTGCTTCCGGTCTTTTACTTTTCCGTTCTGGGATGTCTTGTGCCATGCCTTTCCACAGCAAGCTGGTAGTGACATGCTACACCTCAGTGGAAACAACATCATTCATTTTTATGTTTGACAGCAGCAATAAAGCCCAGCTAGAGGTTTATTTTAACAATTAAGGAGCAAGGGGAAGACATTACTGTATCACGAAAGGTCTGGGTCTTGATTTTTTACTCGACCTCTGCAATGCCGTGGCTGGTGATTGGTCAGAACTGCAGTGCAAGAAACCAGGGAGGCATAAGTGTTAAATCATTAATAATTGATTACCGGCCAGCAGGGCTAATCAGCCCAGGCTGGTCTGTAATGGGGAGGAACGATGATCCCAGGAGAAGCTAATTCACGTGGATCACGAAAAAGTGACCCGGTCAGAACAGCGAACCTTGAGCCCTGGTGAGAATACGATGGTTTCTCAGGGCAACCGCTAGCCAAAGGACGCTGTCTTGATGACGCCTTTTCACAAGCAACCGATTGAGCTCGGCGTTTTTAAAGTATTACTGCAGCCCCTTCCCTTACATAATTGCGTGGTCCGACACAGCCTATTTGGATACTTGTCGTACGTGGAGAGAGAGTTATGTTTCTGTAAGTGGGCCATATCGTCACTCAGCCATAGTGTCCCCTGAGATGATTTTTTAGTAAAATCAGTTGGCTGTAAGATTTAACTAAACGGCTTCTCACCACTTGGCACGATTTCTTAAAACAAAAAATCTAAGAATACAAAACATTTCCTATAGGCTGATTTTTTTGCAGATTAGTATGTAGGTTTATGCTGTCCATATGCTATAGGTTTATTTTTGAACGTGCCATATGGGTGTTTGAAGATCAAGATAGCTGATGCAATGCAGAATGCATGCGGCTCGCTCCTACATGTTTAAGGCTCTTGACTTTGGCATCGGTGGGTCTTGAACACAATACTTCTGCTAATGACAGGCTAGGATTTTGTATAACATCACTTTATTAACCCTTTACAATTTCTTGCATTAGGAATTATCTTTTCGAGAGCCTGGGGTCAGAGCACATGGTCTGCCATTGTACGGCACTCCTGGAGCAGTTGGGGTTAAGGGCCTTGCTCAGGAGCCTGGATTTCTCTGCTTGCTGTGGGATTTGAACCAGCAACCTTCCAGCCAAAGGTGCAGATCCTGAGCCACAGAGCCACCGCTCTGCCCCTAAATCTCTATTCCACCCAAAAAAAGAAATCACTCATCCAGTCTCATGATGTCGCATAATCCGGGTGGGGGTAAAATTGGTGTTGGTGGAGGGGATTTGTAAAGGCTTTGAGTCAAGTGTCCAGAAGAGTGCAATGTAAATGTAAGGATTTATCAATTATTTAACTCTTAATCATAGATAACCTTTGAACAGTTTCAACTGTTTATGCTGTCAAACTAACACTAAACTTTCTAGATTTAAATCTGAACGGGATGCTTTATGTGTGTTCTGTAAGGCTGGAAAAAAAAACTCTTACCACATTTGTTACCTCTATGTATACAAAGTTGTTTTGGATAGACTTGCAAAATGCCAACTTTAAGCATTTAAATGTGAATGTTAGATTTAAGGAGTTTGTTATTATGTTTTACTCCGCAATATGTAATATGGGGTGAAAAAACGTTTATAATGAATTTGTTAATACTAATGGGTAGATAATCATATTCACAAAACACGTTGGCTCAAACTCTGTCCTTTAATACTTATAAATTGGGAATGCAATGTTACTTAACATAAAAATAAAGTAACAAAGAAAAAAAATCAGAGTTAATAAAAGTTTAACTTATTGTCAGATTGCTCAGCTTTAGGAAGTTGGGTTTAAAAACCGTTTAAACAGACAATCCCATTTGAAACTGCACAGAACACAATAATAACGATAATTTAAAACCCTGGCTTTGGTATAGTGTTTCAGGCATTCATATTAAGGGAAACAAAGCTTTCACTGGCCCATTATCAAACTTTATTGATATAAAAAAACAGACCAAAAAGAAAAAGAATAATGGACAAAGCGCGAGCCTGCGATCTTTCCTCAACCGTCCACACCACAGTTTTTCCCTGGGTCAGAGATTAAATGAAATTTTAACATTCACATTAAATGAATGACAACATACTGAATATGTTAACCCAAATATGTCTCACATTATTAATATTATTATTATTATTATTGTTGTTGTTGATAATAATAATAATAGGGCCTCCAACACGGCTGTTCCGTATTTTCATACAACAATTTTCTTGCTTCTGTCTGGTTGCTGCTCTCGTCTTTAGGAAGTGTTGGTGGACGGCCGGTGCCCGCCTGCCTGCCAGCCGTCCCACTCAGCGCAGGAAGCGATCCCTTCCCCCGGCGAGTTCGTCAGGAAACGGAACCAAAAGCTTCACTGCCATTAGTGATGGCGGATGTGCACGAAGCGGACGCGATGAAGAATTTCCACGGGGGTTTCGATCGGATAGACGCGGATATGTGCCGCTTCCCATATTGCATCGTGTGGACTCCCATTCCGGTGCTGTCGTGAGTCTCTCTTATTTTACCTCTCTGCGACTGAGGTTTGTAAATGGGCTGGTTCCGCAGGTACCGTTTTTGTCATATTGTATCAGTTCAAATCCTGTGCCGAGGTTGTTGGGTAATCGCAGTGTGGGGCCCGTGTCGTTTACATTATGAGTTACAAAAATGGGCTCCGTTAGTGCTCACTGAGACAAAGCAGCGTTTCGTTGCTGTTGCCGAACTGAGACAGACAGGTATTGGGGGCCAGTAAGGTGTCTTAAATAATTCACAACATCCCCAGACTGACATTCAGGATGCGCGGCTGATGGTGGCTCAGGAACAACACCGCGGATGTAGGTCTTCCTTATTGTCCAAATTTAGGTCTCGACAGCTGATCATGAAAATAGAATAGCTGAGACAGCGAAGCAAAGTGACCCATTTTTCCAAAACGCGGTGATCTAAAAATCAACTGTCCCACATAAATCATTGTCTCTCCTGTGAGGTCGGAGAAGAAAATGGGGAAAGGCATAAAAACTTCCACTTCCGAGGACTGTGTCTGTAAGCTCTTTTACACATTTCAGGTTAATATTATGATTATTGTAACATGAAGCAGTACTTGAGTTTCTTCAATACTATGTGAACTACACCTGTCATCCCATGCCGAGAATCTGGTCCTGCACCTGTTTTTAGCTTGTAAGAGCATATGAATCCGAAGCAAATCGAGCTGTCATGTTGTAGCACTCTTCCTTTTCCTTGCTAAATCTCTGAATTTATTTAGTAGATGTCACAAGTTCATTATGTCCAGGGGCTGTGAGGTGGGTCTGAACGTTAACATCCCTTTCAGTTGACATAAGTGCCTGGTATTTTCAAAGATTATTTCACTACCAATAGTTACTTTCAGTTCTGGAAGAAGTACAACTGGATTCTATTAAGAACATCAGGAAAATTACAAATGAGAGAAAGGTCATGTGGCCCATTTAGCTTGTTTTTTGGCAGTTATATGATCTGAGGGTCTCATCCAGCCACTTCCTGAAGGAAGCCAGGTTATTGAACAACATGGCTGGTTTGCTTGATCCAGACTCCCACAGCTCTTTGTGTAAAGTTGTATTCCCCCTGCTGTGTCTATGAAATGCACTTCCACTTGCTTTCCATTTACTAGATGCTTTTGACCTTTTGATGCACTATTTTTGCAAAAGCTTAGCTTGTATAGTATGTGGTTTATTAACATTGTCCACACACAAGATGGACGCTGATTACTTGTTAAATGTTAAATAAAGGCATTTATGCACACTGGACCCATAGGAGTTTCTGTGTAAAGCTGTCAAAATAAACGAGGACGTGTGCATAAACTACAGGGAGTGGTCTTGTGTGCTAGTCCCAGAATCCCACTCTCACCAGCAGGGTTCATTGTAAGGAATTAGGCTCAGCAGTCATTGCAGGAAGGCTGTGGAGATTAATGTTCATTGGGACCTGCCCTGGAAGCCTGCATGCATATATCCTCCTTCAGGTCACAGTTCAACCCAGCCGCAGGCTGTAAGTCAATAAAAAAACTGGATTACAAGAGTTTGTTTTCCAGTGCCATCTTTGGACACATGCACAGGGAGGCTTGCTTTTCTACTAATCTGGGCCAGAAGGGGACGGCTGAGATGGCGCATTGTTGACAGTCTCTGCGCTATCAGGAGTTCTTTACAAGAAGCCAAGTAAAAACTAGGAGAAACAATTTCTGAGTGTGTAAACGTGGAGCCCCAGCGTGTCAGTCTAACTGTCTTTATATAGAGGTGGTGTTTGGGCAGCAGTGTGGAGAGTACTGATTAGGGTTTTGACTCATAACCTGAACGTGAGACGCCGCTGTTGTAGTCCTCAGCAAAGTAATTCACCTAATTAAAGCTATGGCACCAAATTCATCTGAAAGTAGTAATGGTACAACTAGGCAGAAGATACAGAATTGCTTGGCCATGCAGGGCCTGATATAGACAGTCATGCAGGTGGCTTCTCTTTGCTCCAGGAGTATAGAAGAGTTCCAGGGAATTCTGGATTCTGCTTTTAGTCTGGTGGAGCACTGTCTTGCCATTGATTCAAATGTGCAGCTGTTCTTAAAGACCCACTTTCTCATCATGGTGTTTTTTTTTGTTCTATTTCAGGTATTTACTGCCTTTCATTGGGCACATGGGAATCTGCACGTCTACTGGTGTGATCCGAGACTTTGCTGGACCTTATTTTGTGTCGGTAAGAAGTGACTGCAGATGTGAGGTTTTGTCCAGTTCTCGAGGATGATACTGTAGGTGGTCATTCCGGTTGTTGATTTGGCTGTTTCAGGATAAAATACACAGGCGCACAGCAAGTGTGATCAGGTCTCTCTCAAGACATGAAACATTGTGGTGTTGGTTTGCTGATGCAGAAGCGTTTTTCCCCCAAGTAAAACATTTCCCTTGTTTGCATCATCTGATTTTCTCCAAACATGTGTTTCAAAAAATCCTCAGGTAGTTAACAGATTTATTTCCCCTTCATGGAAAGAAGAACTGATCAATCCAGTTTCTTACAATAGCAGTTCATTCAGAGTAGTAGAGTAGTTTATTGCCATATGCACACGTGCATTGGAATTCTTAACCACGCTGATCTCTCGGGACATACACAGTAAAACAGAAAACACCACACAATGTAGACAGTACATTACAAAGATAATAAATAATAACACGAACAATAATGTGCTGTGGGACATATGTAATAGTGAGAAAGAAAACATGGTAGACCATGTTAAAAGACCATGAGATGTAGACAATGATATGGCCAGCAGCCATATCACCCTGCAACTCACAACTGGCAACCCACTGAAGCTAAGCGAGTGTGAGCCTGGTCAGTACCTGGATGGAGACCTCCTGGGAAAAACTAAGGTTGCTGCTGGAAGAGGTGTTAGTG